GGGCGAGTTCTATTGTTTAATATAGGGTTTTGGGCTAAAAATCCCGTGTTTTGCACTTCAGTCCCTCAATTTTCCGCTTCCTATCGCGGTCCTACCGCGGTTACGCCAGGACCGCGGCCAACTAGCCTCTCAGAATCCGCAACAGCCTTCTGCCGCGGTCCGACCGCGGTAACGCCGGGACCGCGGCAGTCCATCTCCAGTTCTGGTTTTGCTGCCTTCGCGTGGTGCACTTAGCGGATATTGTAAGATTGGCCTCTTTTTCTCCGTAGTTGATCCCAAAAGTACTCCATAGACTTCTTTTATTGTATGTAGCCTGCAAAGCATGAAAAGCACTAATCAGAGCATTTTGTTATCACTTTTTACCATAAAAACTATACAAGAAGGTGGTTCTTTAGGGCCTAATTATAGTCCAATTCACCTATTATCAATTACTAAGCCTTTTTTAGGTCCGTCTGTCCAATCTTTTCATTTGTGAACAAGTTGGAGTGGCTGGTCTAGCTGAAGCTATGGCTTATTCAATTTTTCCAGCTTCAAACCGTGCTAATTTTTATCAGCAAAGAAGCTTAAATATTTTGGCGGATGAATCAGTATCTTGTAGGAACTTGAAAATAATTTTCAACTGTATACAACATAAGGTTTTACAAAGTGTGTAGTTCATCTTGCCCTCTGCACTTCCTTTCATCTGCTTCCTTTCTTCCTCAATATTAAGTAACATGGCCTTTCAAATTGTAGTTAAGTTACTTGAATAGAGCATGGGGATATTGTTATTTTCAGAACAGGTGAGCAGGTCTTTTTTTAGTTTTATTATCGCTATATTCATTGCCACTTGTTTCCAGTGCAGTCAACAACTTACCCATGGGATATCCCGTCCTTCAGCAACATCCAGCTCCAGCTGCAGGTCAACCTCATCTTGATTCAATGGGCATGTCCAGCTGCCATGTGGTTAATGGTGTGCCAGCGCCAGGAAACTATCATCCCATGAGGATGAATTCTGGAAACGAGTGAGAATTTTTTCTTACATAGGAATTAGTTTTCCTTGATTCTAAGATTGGAAATTTATTTCTTATTTTCCCAAATTTGGTAAGATTCGAAATAGCATTGAAGGTTCACAAGGGTTAAAAATGAGTATAGGTTGGTGAAAAATAGTTACTTTATCTGAGTATGTCAAACCTACTCAGGTAAAGCCCATGTCTAGTTTTAACTCTTCTATCAAGGAAATGAGGTTCATTTCTTCTTCTTCTTACCAAAGATGAATAAATTATTAATTTGATGGTTGAAGTGCATTGGCTGCTGGGATGAAAAGCTATTTATATTTGTTGGTGGAGACACGGCTTGAGCAATGACGCTTTACAATTCTTTTCTGCTGACAGTATGCTGATTGACACCAGTGCATCAGATGTAGCACCAACTATTCCACCTAGCAATGCCATGTCATCAATGTCAGATATGGCCGTAAGCCCTACATCAGTAGCTTCCAGCGGCCATTTTCCCTTTACAGCTTCAGAGATTTCGGGGATGGGAGTTGACACGTCAGCCCTTGATGCTGCTTTCCCATCTGATGTAGCAAGTTCAGTCGGATTAGAACTTCCACCAGATAATGGTGTTGGTAATTCTAGGGATTCACTGAGATCTTTCGCTCAGCTTCCTTGGAATTTTAGTCTTTCAGATCTAACAGCAGATTTGTCCAATTTGGGAGGTAAGTTTGCTTATACAACTCTTATCTCTGTTTATTAATTTGCAATGAGGTTCTACTTCCCTCTCACTCCTTTTGTGCATCCTTTGATGTTAAGAAGAGTAATTGATTTGAGAACTTTGTTCTTGTTGTCTTATTCGAAGCATTACAAATGAACTCTTATGACAATTCATGATATGGAGTTTTATCAAAGTTGAAGATACTCGTCCAGAATCTGATCCAATGGCTTTTAATATTACATATAAAGTCCATTTGCCTAAAGAGAGTTTATTTTGCATTATACTTCTGGAATACTAGATGAAGGTTGCGATATGTTGCTCTATTTAGCACCAATACATGTATAAACTTTAATGTTAATAGTCAACCATTGCAAACTGTAACATTCGGTTTGGAGAAAGTATGGTAAGTGTACACAAAATCAGGGTACTTCTAAGCCAAGTAGGAACTTTGGTGCGGGAAGAAGTCAGATTTTTCACAATTGAATAACCATATGTCTGTTTTCATGAAATATCTTATTTTTGCTTTTTCTCTAGCCAAAGATCTTTACTTCTCGATGTTATTGAAGTTTTGGCCCCATTGTAAGATGTCTGTATCTCTGCTATTCGGCTTTCAGAAAACTTTAGAAGTTTCCAAGTTGATGCCTTCCTTTGCCTTAGAGCTAAATGTATCTTCAGAATTTTCCAATTTCCAGGGAGGTTGTTTTTCTTCAGCTTTAGGAAATGCTTTATAGTTTTTGGCTCTGCAGCAGAAGCAGCACTACTTGATATTTATCTCTATCAGTTGTGTGTTTCGTTAATTTCTTGATAAACAAAATGCTTGACAAGCAAAACAAAAAGAGATTCATTTGACAGAAAAATTGACTAGTGCATGGTGTACTGGCTAGTTGGCCCTCTGCCCGGACAGGAAAAGGTGGGGGCTTGTTGGCATTTAGATTCATACTTGTCAAGGACTTTTTCCCGTTTTGTGATAAGTACATAGTTTTCAAGTATTTTATTATGTGTTAGCTTGTTTTTTGTTAGTTAGCGGGGTACACAGGCAAATCAGACAAACGGACTGCAAACATGTTGCATCACAGTATTCCTGTTCAGGGAGAAGGGACCAACTTTACAGATTAGATTAATGATATGTATTCGAAGATGTGTTTTATAGAGATATAGTTGCAGTAGTACTAGTAATGAGTGTGATAATTTGTATGCGCTGTTTGTTCAATGAAGATTTTATGGATTGCTTTTTTGCTCAGAGTTTTTGAATTCTTTTCCTCTTTTGTTCTGGTTGACGTTTATTACAGATCTAGGACCTCTTGGAAACTATCCTGGTTCTGCATTTTTGCCTTCTGATTCAGACATTCTACTCGACTCTCCTGAGCAAGATGATATAGGTGAGATTATTTACTTTCTTGCCCATCGAATGTTATGCTTTGAAATTTGAATCATTAACCGTGAGATGTTCAACAAAATGTTAGCATTAAGCATATCAACTTGTGTGCTGTTTTTTTGCCTAAGTTATTAGATGCACTTTAATGGCTGATGCTGTGGTCTTTCGTGCTCCTAATCTTCTTTCACGACATTGGACTATAATAGTGGTTTTGTCTGGAATCTGACTTCTGATCCTTGTTTCTGGCTTTCGTTTGTTGCATTTGCAGTAAACACGGTTAATCATATATAAATATATAAGTTAGAAGTAAACATTGATACATGAATGCACATTGGTATATATGCTTGGACCTATACAAATATTATTAGTCTGCATTTCCATATGCTTAAAAGGCAGTCCGGTGCACAAGGCATCCCGCGTTCACGCAGGATTTGGGAAAGGGCCGGGTGTGACCCTAATGCAAGCATTAGTGGCTACTTACACTGCTCGAACCCATATTCAAATGCTTCTCTTTGAAAAATTCCCATTTTTCTGGTTTCCTCTTTGAAAAAGCTAGAGGTGGTTTAGCTGTAGTGTAGGATATATACAGTAACCATCACAACATCATCGGTTTTTTTCTTTTTAACTCAAACAAATGTTGTTACATCTGCTTTATGTTTAATAGATGACTGTTCTCTTGCTTGATTTGTTTTTTTCTTTTTTTTGGTCAGTAGAAGAGTTCTTTGTCGATGTTGATGCGGATCCAGGACCAACATGTCAGTCAGATGAAGAGAAGTCCTAGCTTAAATTGAGATATTAACGTTGCATTTTGCGTTTGAAATTAGAATAAGTCTGTTGTAAAATGATTATAAACTGATAGATTGATGAGCTGAAACCATTGATTTAGATGTGGCAGATATAGTCGTTATTAACCTAATTTAGATATATCTTATCCTTGGGTTGTTATTATCAGATCTTTGTTTCATTATTAGTAGAAGCAGGAGAGAATATGTTCAGTTCCCTCCCTTTTTGATACTGAAAGTTTGTATCTGAAGATAGTGAACTTTAATCTTTCACAAAGGACATGTTGTTACCTAAACAGGTTATAATTATGTTCTTTTTGGATAATTGAAATATATGTTTATGCAAAGACTGGTATATTAAAATTCAACTTTGCACTTGACCAATATTGTTGTTTTAATTAGTGGGAGATGGCTAAGATTTGAAATCATGAATCTGGAGTTGGTGGTGACCAGCCCAGTAGATTTGAATTCAACTTGAATATAAATAAATAAAGATTGATTACATCAAATGTGGTAAGTTAATACTACTTAATAGGTATTTGGTCATATTATGAGCCCGTTTGGATTAGCGGATTTGAAGTAACTCATAAACATTAGGTGTGCTGAAAAGCATTTTTAAGTGTTTAAACTGATTTAATAAATAAGCAGTTACATGTTTGGGTACAAGTGCTGAAATTGATAATAAGTTGTTGCAGTATTTTATAAAAGAATGCCGATAAGCTCTTTTTCTGTTAAGATGACGTAAATAACATTAGAACTGTTTACACTTATAAGGGCATAATTTCTTCAAAATTTTAGATTCCAAATCGATTCAAATACAAAATATTCTTTTGTCATTTTATTTTAAATACAATTATGCTTAGATAAGATAATTTTTATGATAAACATTATTTATTTTATGATAAGCATATAATCATAAGTTATAACAATTAATAAATTGACAAAAGTTTCTCAGTAAAAAATAAACCTAAATAGGACAAAATATTTGAAGAGAAACAAACACCGTCTTCATCACTACAATACTTAGAAAGCAATACTCAAAAAATTTGATGTGTCCTCATTATTACATACAGTTCAAAGATTAATACACAACCACATAGATATAAATATGCAAAAGAATAGAGAATTTGCTTATCTTAAATAGTCAATGAAAATTGCAGACTTGAAGGGGGGTGTTAGATTGAAAAAATACTTGAGGCAGCGAGTATCGATGTAGGAATTTTGTTTTAAAAAGAAATATTTTAAGGTAAAATAGTAAAAAAATTGGTCAAACTTAAAGTGTTTATAAGCTAAAAATTCATAAATTGGAGTGGCCAGTTTATGGCTTTTGGCTTATTTTTTACTTATAAGCACTTGGCTTATAAGCACTTTTAACTTTACCAAACGCGTAGATAAGCCAAAAAGTGCTTATAAGCTAGTTTGACTAGCTTATAAGCTTAGCCAAACACCCTCTATATCTTGGTCAAACTATTATTATTATTTATTAAGTATTTGAAAAAGAAGAAAAAAATGCCATCGCCGGTGATCAAGTTGACCTAAAAATGCCACTCCACGCTATGGCTGTCCAACGGGACGAGACCAAATTAACGGGACAGGACGGGACGATATTTAAGCGGGATGGAGGCGGGACGGGACGAAACGGGACGGGACAAACGGGAAACGTTCGTCCCATCCCGTCGCGCTAACAAACGGGATGGGACGGGATGGGATGGGACGGGACGGGTTCGTGGGCCTTAAGTGTATTTTTTTTTTAAAAAACGTCTAGTTTTTGAAATTTACT